GAGTTCTGTGAGAAACAGGGAATTTACTATCAGGATGACAATAAGCTTTACAGTAAGGACTCTGTTTCACGGAGTTGGTCAGAAATGAGAAATAGGAAGGCGTGTCAAAATGCTACATTTGGTCCAACCAGTCTTAAACCCTGGATTTTTGGCTCAAGAATCCAGCACCATTTTCAACTTCTTCTGTGTCCTGGTCTTCACACATCTGCATTACAACTTTTTTCCATTTCCACTCTTTTGCTTGTTCTGACCCTCTTCTTCTCAACCCCATCCGTGATTCCAGCATGTTACTTTTTGACACATTGTCAGTTTCAGGGATCGAAGCCACACTTGGTGTTGGAAAATGGCCTGAACAGACATGTCTGTCACTGCATTGAAACAGCATCCAAGGTCAAGATATATAAGCCTAGGAAGGTTCTCTGCTATAAGACACAAAGTTCTCTCACCTAAGGAGAGTCTAGCAAGATTAAGTCATTGCAAATGCAGATTTACAGAGGAGCAAAGTCCCCTCTCAATGCCCTCATCTGATCACATATTGACAGGTTTAAATTTACTAATTTCTTGAGATGACAAAGTTCTGATATGCTTGTGTTTGTTATGGCATAGCATTCCTCTATATTGAGCATCAAAAGGTTCATTAGGTTGTGACAGATAGCTATGAGAGAAGGATCACCAATGCGTGAACAATTACTTAAATCAATTCAGTGAGACTCAGTTGGTACTCTGTGAGTCTGAGTATGCCAACATTGTTCAGCTGTTGGCAAGACTGAAGATGTTGTGTGGATGCGTGTGTCCATCCATGAATAATACATATTTGGAGTCAGTATGACTTTCCAAGCATTTATAAACCTCTTTAAAAAATCAATAAATAAAGAATGAATTTGATGCTGTAATTCTTATTTCACTCATTTCCTTCCTGTCTGATCATCATTGTCTGTAATTTACATTTATTTTAATCATAGTCCCTTACATACTGCTTTCAGTTCCCACAGGAATAAAATATTAATTTCTGAATAAACTATTAGTTTTCAGTGTAAGTGAGAAGGAAGATAATAACAATGTAACAATTTTCTAAAATACTGGTGATGACAATGATTATTCTAAAGCAGTAGTTCCCAGAAGACACTGACATTCCATGAGCTGGCCCTGCCACTGAAATTTTGTGTTGGTGGTTTCATCCCATTTCACAGATGAATAAAATGGATGGACAGGATTATCTCAGTCCTTCATGCAACCTGCAATCACTGAATTCCATCTCTGGCAGTAGTGTTATTACTGCCAAAAGACAGACATTTTCATAAACAACTAATACTTCATCATAATTCAATAATTGTCCTTAGAAGGAATCATAACAACTTGTTTTCCATCAAACAGGGGGTACGAAATAACAGAATAATGTAAGTATTCTCATCTATGTATTTACATATTATGTACCCATAACATAACACAGGTGACATGGTTAGCTCAACATCATAATTTTGTGAATATACACGTTCATGCTTGTGTTCTTATATAGTCGCATCAGTGCATATATTTAACCATATTTGTCAATAACTATGGTAGGAGCTGGGCATGAGAGAATGGAAAGAAGAGATGTGAAAAATTAAGTATATGCACCGACTCCCATATCTCAAAGAATTAACCGATGTTAGCATAAAACATGATTTAACTTGTTATTATCATGTGTAACGCGTATCCAAACATTTTTGTCATGAACAGGTTTCTCATTCTTACTGAGCTTCTTGGTCTGTCCTGCTGCGTCTTCCACAAGCAACCCCGAAGAATCTGAGGCCCGGAAGAAAACAGAAAGAAACCATAAATTAAAATAATAACAGGAAGGAAACATAAAATAAAATAAAAACAGAAGGGAAATACTAAGCAAAGTGAAGTCTGATTACATTTCATCCATATTATATTCAAACTGGACGTTTAAACACTTTAAATGCAGATATAATTAATACCTCTTATATTACTGGTAATGTACTTACAAATTAATTGTATCAGAATGTGCAAATGAATTTCTAAACAGATCAATAGAAAGTGATATTTACAAACATTGATTATGCGTATTTTAGCGGCTTAAAATGGTAGGCCTAAGTATAATAGATAAAGATCTCTTGGTCCGGTCCTCATATTTTAACAGGTGTGATACTTAAATATGGTTAACTGGAGTCTATTTATTACAAGCAGTTTTAAAAAGACATCGGGGGCTTCCCTATTATAGGAAGAGCATGTGATTTGGAGACATACTTTGATCTCCAGGATCTAACCACATGAAAGCCATATTTGAAGACTGACAAAATGCACACACGTTCATTTAGTTTATAATAAATATGGAATGTTTGGGCCTGTCAGCAAGACTCTTCTGCATGGTTTTATGACAGACAGACTATTTAAGTTGTCTGATCAGGTAAGCAAATGGACTGAACTGTTTGATGGAAATGAGAAATTAATGTTTCCTTCATGAAATTATATCAAGCTCAATTTATGAAACTGAACAGACACGTACTATCAATTTGTTTGGCATTACACGGTGTGTACAACATGAGCTATGCAGTGAAAATAATGGTGCCATAAGAATGCGCTATGTGACACAAAGAATCAACCCATAGACCGGCAAAATGAAACCTCGACACCTTCGAATTACAGGGAACAAAAATTCTGATTGTGGCTGTTATAAATGTAATCAAATCCGAGATTCTTATCAAAGACACGAACACATCATAAGTAAAATTAAAGCAATAAAACCAACATGAAATTAAAAAACAAGAACAATGAAAAGTATATTTAAGATAGACAAACTGAATAATTAAAAATAATCTCAACAAAGAAGCAGGCCTCTCCTCCAGTAGTGGCTTGAAAGGGCTCTGACCCAAAAGTTTAGCAATTGTATCTAACTCTGGTACAAGAAGATCTGACGTAATCCTAAATATAATAAAATTCCGTAATGGCTGGAGCCTTCAAGCACATGCAACCACTGCTGTAAGCTTGAGAAGAATGTCCCCCTTTTCCCGACCAAGGTGTCCCTGAAATAACCACTTTTCCTGCTCTCGGCCCTTTTCGTCACTGAAAGGTCCTCAATAATGAAGTTCGCCTTGCTCACCTGTTCTAAGAACGATTTTCAATGGCAGTGCCTCGTACAAATCTCATATCTCATTTGTACCCAAAGTACTTCATAAACTCGTCCTCAAGACAGACAAGCAAATCAGGAGAATATTTACCAATTGCAAATTCAGAAAGCCGTGTGATGTAGCTCAGTTTGCTGCAAACGCTTCCGGCAAGCAAAATGTCACTTGTTTGGGTTACCAAGAACATTAAGGAAATATTTTTCACATCGAAGCAGTTAAGTATCGTAATTAAGGCATGAAGATAATTATGCATTAACCAACTCCCATATTCAGAACGTAGCCTAGTTCATTCCCTGTGTTTATTTAAAGAGGATTTTTCAACTGAACAAGGTATTTATTACAGAATGTAAAGACAGCTGCATTTGATGGATAGGAAACCATGTCGAAGGAAGTGGTCGTGACTTATTATAAGCATTTGCCTAAAACGTGGCAAAAAGAAGACGGTAGGCCAATCGCACAATCGAAAGCTGCATTATTCAGTACATCGCCTAATTTTGCCAGCTGCGTCACACCTCCAAGAGGTACAATGAGTAAAACGTGCATACAACATTTTTGTGAGGAAACACTTGGAAAGCGGCCATTTGGCAAAACAAGACGGCAATGAGAATGTATTATGAAAGCGTTTTTTTTAGAAATATGTTGTGACAATGGGAAAGAATGCTGTTCTATGGCGGGCTTTGGTATTAGCGATGATGACCTCTGATTACTACCACCGTATCAAATCACTGTTTGCGCAGAGTCGATTCTTAGGATTCCCGGGCCATGAGATTCGATCCGGCCACCTCTTCAAGGACAAGCACGACTGTTAACCATTGCACAGACATGTTCGGTGACGATACAGGATAGGTTCAGGCCCACACAAAAAACATGAACAGACGAGACAATCGAATGTCAGAGACAAGCGCTTAACTGTGTAGCCGATTCTACAGGAGCCAACTTTGAAGCAACCGGGTCCTTTACAGCGAACGGGGGACTTCCATTGCTGTGCCTGTGTACTTGCGGTGCCACATGTGTCGCTGTGTGTCAGACAGGGATGTAAATTAGACCTACTACAGTTTTATTTTCAGTAGTCTTAAGTATCCATGACTGTTAAATAAAATAATCTCTTCTTGGGCAACTACCAGGATTCTGAGGAGAATATCTGCACCTAGGAGACATGAACTGTTAAAGGCTGGCGAAAGTTGCATAATGAGGGGCTTCATAAGTTGTACTCATCAACAAATATAATTAGTCAGATCAAGGCAAAGAGGATGAGATGGGCAGGGCATGTAGCCAGGATGGGAGAGAAGAGAAATGCGTACATGGTTTTGGTGGGCAGACCAGAAGGAAACAGACCACTGCCTAATTAGTACTTCTCACAAAGTATTATGTCAGAATTAAGAAATGAGGGGAATTAGTGGAGTATGTAGTAGCCATTGGAGATATAAAGGTACATACACGTAACATTTTCATAGAACACGTGAAGGGAAGAGCCAATTTGAGGAATGGATTTGTCTTACTCGGGACAGGATTTTGTGAACACGGTGAATGTAAGGAATTAATGATTTTAAACTGCAAGAGATGAGTGTCCTACTTTACAATCGTTGCTACTTACACTCAAGAAAAAGTTCAAATTCAGTGGCGGAAAGTGGGCTCTTTGGAAAATAATTAGTGAGAGAGTCTTCAGGTTGATGAAATAAGAAAATTATACAAAAGCGCTAATAAAAAAGGATGGTATTCACATGGCAAATTTAAGAAATACAGGTCCTTCATTACAGAAACAAGGATCACCCTATCATCTACATTCAATCCACCCACACAGTAAATCTTGCCTGGAGTCATGGTAAGAACGCGTGTACTTCCACCCGCCTCCAAAGGACAGCGAGTCATTATTGTACATGCTGGGAGTGAAAATGGCTTCATTCCAAATGCTCAGTTAATGTTTAAATTGGTAACAATGTCTGGAGATTATTGGCACACAATTTATTTTAATAACTATAAACAATGGCTCACACCAGAGTTGATTCCAAAGTTTAACACCGAATTCAGTATTAGTAGAGGACAACGCAAATTGCCACAATGTACGAACCAATTCGGTTATTTCCTTCATCTCGAAACGGCGATATATCGACTGGCTTTCAGATCGTGGCATTCCTTTCAAGACCAAAAGTGTCAGCCCAAATTGTATTAAGCGACGCACTGCAGGAGCAGAATAGGCATGTAAGCAATGTAACTTATCATGAACACAGAAACCTAAGCCTACGTGTCACTTACCTGCACAAACACCGACACGGTCACGAGGGATGCCAAAGCGCGTAGCTTATCACTATCCTCTTTGGCAGCTGCGAAGTACATCTGACTGACTAGTGTCAGGAATAATTCGGCAACTGCCATCCACGTGCCGTAAGTTTGTTCATACTTCTTCCACTGTAATGAGACATTGTAAATATTTTAATCCCTGTGATCAAGATCTGCAATTACGTATCTTGATTAATAACATGCGTCTTCTGTGGGTCTGGAAGAGATGGTTGGCTCAGCACACTTTGGAATGTTGTTTGGGATTCATAAATTGACAGTGCATATGCTTCATCTGAGATAAAATGTAGTCCATATCTAGAAAGTACATAAATAAAAACAACAATGTATAATTTGTAATAAGTTGTTCATCAGAAGTCTTGATGCCACCTTCAATGTGTATGGAATTAGGTGGACTGTGAAAATAGTATCAAAGCTGAACAGCTGCATCCACTGACATATATGAGGTAATATGGTATCATTATGCAGTTTCTTTTCAAGAAAAAGCTAAATAAGATAATAGTACTGAATAAGAACATATTTCCAGCAGTACTCAACCTTT